TAGTATCGTAGATACTGAAAAAAATGATTCGATATAAAAATATGGAGTCTCGAAAAAAAGAGGGAAAAGTCACTGCTCGCTAATTTCAATAATTATTTCTTTCAATTTATTTGTTTCCCGTTTGTCAATAAAAAATTACAATCCTTGCACGAGATAAAACGTAATAATCGTAAGAAAAAAAACCAATATCTTCCTCTGTGTAACGCCTCTTCCTGCCCCTATTTTCGATTAAAAATTAACTATATTGCACGAATCCATCTCGCAAAAAGCTAATAAATAATTTCACGACGGATGTAAATGGAGAAGTACTGCTATAGTTCCGCATATAGGGTGTAACTAAAATAAGGAGACAAACTTCGGGGAGAGGAGAGGAGGAGGGGGCGAGTTTCTCATCAAAACATGTTAATGTAAAATGAGAAAGTAATATGATTTATTATTATTTTCAATTTTTAATAACAATTAATTTAATAACAATTAAATGTTCAAAATGTCTTTCATCTAACGATCATAATAAATATATGGCATGGACACGTATAATCGTATCAAAATAAAGCGATTGAAAGAGTAACTGTTTCTCGAAACGTGAATTAAAAATGAGATCGAGTGCTAATATGTATTATTGTGAAAAATGACGATTGTCAAATTAGAATGCTACTTGGTCAGGTTAGGTTAACGACATATATTTTTTCTGATAATGAATTGAATTAATAACATTTGTTTTAGTTATATTTCAATAATAATGGACTTACGAAATATATATATAGATGTGAATTTTTTTCGATATAAAATTCGTCCTCTTATTTTAGTTACACCCTGTATATAGCGCAAGAGACACCCGTCAACACGCTTGCGCCGATCTCACGTGCGCTCTAGCGTATTCTAGTTTCTATATACATCCTGTGTACGTACGTTGTACGGGACGAAAGTAACAAGAGGGACAACAGTGTTGTTTTAACAGGCGAGCCGCATACAGGGTGTCGCGTCACGGACAGTTGAAGATTATATCGTCTCGTTAGACGCGCGAATATAATTTTATAATTCGCGTTTGTGCTCCGTCGTGTTTGCGATATAAAATCGAAAGTGCTGCTTTTTCAAGTGCGCGATTTATCGGCTCGTTCTCATTGAAATATTCCAATTAAATATCCAAGTTGTACGGAATAAAGAAAATTTATTTTGATCTATAAATTGAATTACGATTGTAATTAATTATTTAATTCGCAATTAATTAATTATGAATTCTAATTAATTGTAATTATTAATTAATATAATTACAATTAATTATTCAATTCAGCAGTATATACTTGAAACATGTTACTTAATTAATTCGTTGAAGTTTTTGCTCCATCTCTCACCCTCGCTCCGCGTGTTGCTTTCTATTTGATTAAAATTGACATTGTGGTTTTTATATTTTTTCCTCATTTAGCCTTTTTATTAATAAAGTACGTTAATTAGCCTTTTTATTAATAAAGTAAGTTAATAATTTTTTGGGGGAGAAACAGTGCGATCAATTTGAACTTTGCTCCGAAAATCATCGACCTTGAGTCATTGATAAATTAGATAATTGAATAGAGATCGAAACTCGCTTCGTTAGTCTACTACGATCGATACGTGCGTGTATTTTAAGTACCTTGCATAGTACATACTTGCATCGATCAACAATATTCTCGGAATTTTTTATTCTTTGGAATTTTTCTGGAAAGAAAAGGACTGTTTGGAACTCGTCAAGGTGGTCGCGTGCGATTTTCGATATATCGGGTGATCTTTGTTTATTTATTTGACGCCACCTGGCGTGCGTCAAGTTGACCGCGTGCATGGTATCTAAAAATCTCTCACGTTTTGCATCATCACGTTGTTTGCCTTTGTTGGGGTGAACCGAAAAGGTTAAAGCTACGTAGAAATTGCAACAGGTGCAATTTAATGACGAAACGTCGTTCCCAAGTTGGAGAACTTTGGAGACTTTTTATAGCTTCCCGATAAGAATACACACTGATCGATTTGTATATATATAGCTCACATACATACATGCTAGAAAAAATTAGCATGAAACACTTATTTATTCTTGATGTCCTCGGGGAAAATACGTTGGCTTATTAAACCGGTCATTTTCGCTTATTGTCCTCTAACGCGGCTTCAATTCCGATGATGACAAGCTTGTCTTTATAAATATTTTATATTTGGGTATTTATAAGTGTTTCCTGATATCCTTTTTCTATTTTATTAATATAAATAGTTCGCTGTTGTATGTTTATCGTTAATATTCTCGATGTGTAAAGTTGTTGCAAGATGTGTTACCAATATGTTAAATCGTTTGTGTCTTGAAAGACCCTTTTTTGATATATTTGCGTTTATTATCCGGGTGTGAATCGTTGATCTAGAAGTGTTATCGGACATAGATATGAAGATATGATCGGCCTTTGGCCATTCAAGCCACGTCGAAGCGGCAAAGTGGAGGTGATGTTGGGTGAGTGTCCTCAGGAAGACTTTGAATCCTTTGAACATCCTAGTCTAGATTACTGACTGATTCAAAATCACTCAAAGTTTGTCCCAAGCACTTCGAATTCTCTGAACATTCTAATCTAGATTGCTGGCTGATTCAAAATCAGTTAAAGTTCACGAAGTCTATTATAAGTGTCTTCGACCAATCTTGTCAAACTAGTATCAGTGCAACTTTTGCTCACAACTCGAGAGTCCTTAGACTCCAAGATCGTCTAAGGTCTCTTAATTTATGTTTATTGTAAGAGTCGATTTTATCAATATTGTCAAACTAGTATCAGTGCAACTTTTGCTCACAACTCGAGAGTCCTTAGACTCCAAGATCGTCTAAGGTCTCTTAATTTATGTCTATTGTAAGAATCGATTTTACTAATATTGTCAAACTAGTATCAGTGCAACTTTTGCTTACAACTCGAGAGTCCTTAGACTCCAAGATCATTTAAAGTATCTTAATTTATGTCTATTGTAAGAGTCGATTTTATCAATACTGTCAAACTAGTATCAGTGCAACTTTTGCTCACAACTCGAGAGTCCTTAGACTCCAAGATCATCTAAAGTCTCTTAATTTATGTTTATTGTAAAAGTCGATTTTACCAATATTGTCGAACTAGTATCAGTTCAACTTTTGCTTACAACTCGAGAGTCCTTAGACTCCAAGATCATCTAAAGTCTCTTAATTTATGTTTATTGTAAGAGTCGATTTTATCAATATTGTCAAACTAGTATCAGTGCAACTTTTGCTCACAACTCGAGAGTCCTTAGACTCCAAGATCATTTAAAGTCTCTTAATTTATGTTTATTGTAAGAGTTGATTTTACCAATATTGTCGAACTAGTATCAGTGCAACCTTTGCTCACAACTCGAGAGTCCTTAGACTCCAAGATCATCTAAGGTCTCTTAATTTATGTTTATTGTAAAAGTCGATTTTACCAATATTGTCGAACTAGTATCAGTGCAACTTTTGCTCACAACTCGAGAGTCCTTAGACTCCAAAATCGTCTAAAGTATCTTAATTTATGTTTATTGTAAGAGTCGATTTTACCAATATTGTCGAACTAGTATCAGTGCAACTTTTGCTCACAACTCGAGAGTTCTTAGACTCTAAGATCATCTAAGGTTTCTTGATGTTACTCGAGTGTATCACTCCAACCGAAAGTAAGGAAACGACGTCGTTGGCAAAAGCAAGGACGAGGGAAACGCTGATGAAAACGACGACTGGGTGCAATGACTGTGCGGCTCGCTGACCCGAGAAGCCGAGAGTCGTTCTCCCTTTCCGTCCTCTTCCGTGAGAAGTTACCATGCCTTGAAAGCACACGTGCGTCTCCATACATTGTGCGTAAGGGGCACGGTAATATTTTAACGCGAGAAAAATGCACGATCGCTATCTCTCGTCCATCATACTAATTCGACGATTTACCGCGAAGCTTCTCATGCGCGATTATTATTACATATATATGCCACGCATCTCTGAATTTAACGATGCGCATTTGTATGACGGCTCTTTGATGAAGCCTCCTCCCCCTTTTTCTTCCCACACATCGTTGCTTCCATACCTGAAGCCTAAAAAAAGCCATCTATTTGTCATACTTATTTATTTTTTTCAAAGGCATATACAGGGTGTCCCAGACCACCCGTACATTCCTCTTAAAATGAAAATAAATGGCTTTTATCAAAAATCGCGAACAATTTTTAAGTAAAAATCGGGTGCGCTATATCAAATGGTGATATTTTCAATTTTTGATTCCGATCGGAAATACGTCATCCGGATCGGAAGTTGAATTTTTTTAGGGGAACATGGTACTTTTTATTACAGATTCGAATTGTACGTGAAAAAATAAGAAACTTTTGTATCAAACGTTTTTTCTGAAAGTGCCTCTGTCAATCTTAAAATTAAAGTTCATTATTTCATCACAGTTACTTTTAAGGTTAATTTTAAGATTGATGGAGGCACTTTCAGAAAAAACGTTTGATACAAAAGTTTCTTATTTTTTCATGTACAATTCGAATCTGTAATAAAAAGTACCACCTAACCTAACCTAACCTAACCATGTTCCCCTAAAAAAATTCAACTTCCGATCCGCATGGCGTATTTCCGGTCGGAATTAAGAGTTGAAAATATCACTATTTGATAGAACGTACCGATTTACTTAAAAAGCATTGTTCGCGATTTTTAATAAAAGCCATTTATTTTCATTTTAAAAGGGGTGATCTTGGACACACTATATACTTATTTGAATTTTAAAACAAGTGACCCCTTCGCGTGAATTTATGTACGTGAAATAGTCTGTGCAACAGGTATCACTATACTTTCATGAACAAGCTATTGTAAATGTATCTGCGCTCTAGTTTTTATAATTTTTTTTTCATGATGTTTATATATTTTATACACTGAATTATATAATCGATACGATTGTCTGTCTTTATAGTTTATTCTTTATGTATATAAAACCTGTATATATTGCTTGTGCGATAACATCGTTTAATTAAAATACGTACTTTTATTGCAGGTTCCATTATGTTCCACGTGAGGAGGAGGCCCGCTGATTACATGCCTCGAAAACGTAAAAAGAAACCCGCCGGAAAGTGGAACGAGTTGGATCACAGGTATGAATTTTTTCGCACAAAAGGACCCCTTTCTCGCACACGACATTCTTAATTATTTGGAAAATATTTTACAGCGATCATTATATTAATTGGTCGTTAAAATTGAAAAACCTGAAAAAATTGGAGAATTTGAAGTTCTCAGGAATTTCTCTTGTACCTGAAAAAAATCAGAGAATTCTCAGGAAATTTTATTGGGATACGAAGAATTTAAAAAAAAATTCTCTTTGATAATTTTGCTCTTATCACTTATAACAGGATATGTATTCTCGGAAAAAAACTTGAAAACTTTTTTGTTTTATCTTGAAAAATCAAGGAATTCTCATGGAAATTTTATAAAAAATTGATACGTTCAATTTTAATTTTGTTTTTATGTTAAACATTTATGTTAACTTAAACAGCTTTAGTTGAAAACTCTGAAAGCTGTTTTTAGCTTTAAAGCCTTTGAGAGCTATTCTTTTGCAATTATTTAAATTCTAATCATTTAAAATTAATCTAATTAATCTTCGCAGGTACGAGGACGAGAGATTGCCGTTCCTGCTGGAGCTTAATCCCGATGGCAGCGATATCCCGAACGGTGCCGGGGCGCGACACCGGTTGCAGCCAAATGTCACGGAGGTGGGCTCGGAGAGGCCAATTGGACCTCAAGCGGTCCAGGCGCAGACGTTGACTCTGCCAGGACCGACGGTGATGCCCAGGCATTGCGTGATAGCCTTCACCGAGAACATCGTCACCCTCACACCGTGCTCCAGAGACGCGCATACCTATGTCAATAATCAAAGGATACACCAGACCACTATCTTGCAGGTGTGTTGCTGAGGTTGCTTCTTGGGGACGGAAGATGCTCGTATTTATCTGTATTTATTCAGGTTGTTTCATTCAGGGTTGGCAAAAAACTTGTTTTTTTTATTTTAAACATTGTTTTTTTTGTTTAGAACAATGTTTTTTGTTTTATTTGTGTTTTTAAGTAAAGTAAAAAAACATGTTTTAAATAAAAAAAAACAAGTTTTAAACAAGCAAAAACACTTAATAGCTTTGATCTGTGTAAATATTTAAATTTTTTCGATAGCGTTAAACTGTAAATAACGTTGTCAAAATTGACAACGCTATTAAAAATATAAATAATAAAATAAAAATGATAAGATGGGTATTATTTTAGAATATTTATTTTTGGAATTATTTATTTTTGGAGAAAAAAAGTTCCAGTTAATAATATTGATATACAATACTTTGATTCCTTTCCTATTCTTATTAAGTAACCTCATGCTTAACTCTCTCTCTCAACATAAATTATAAATAAAATAAAAATAAAAAACCTCAAGTCTGCTTTTTATAGAAGAATTGAGGTTTTTAGTTTTCTTTTATTTCTTTTATTTTCTTTTATTTCTTTTTTTTAGAACTACTGACCTGCTATGGGTTATGTACTATTAATTTAAAATGCTAAAATGTAAAATGTAAAATCAGTCAAAATCTTCTAAGTAATCTTTATTGTATTGATTGTTATTTAATATCCAAAAATAAATATTCTGCTAAAATAATATCCATCTTATCATTTTTATTTTATTATTTATATTTTTATATCTATATGTTACATAAATATAGATGAAAAACTAAAAACACTAAAACAAAAACTTTTTTGCAATATACACATCTATTAGTTTTTGTTTGTTTTTGATTTTTTTTACAATTTCTTTTTCAAATAATCATATATTTTATTTGCGATATTTTAAATGATTCTAAACAGTAGTTTAAAACAGTTTAAAACAAAAATGTTTAAAACAGTGTGCATTGTTTTAAACAAGTTTTAATCAAACAGTTTTAAACATATTGTTTAAAACATGCCAATCCTAGTTTCATTGAACCGCCCTAGGCAAGTATTTCGAAAAATTTGGAAGATATGAAAGAAACGTTTTCTACACAAGTTTTCTACACAAGTTTGACTTCGAGGGATATATAAGATAGTATCATTGGTTTAACTTTTTTAATAAATATTTGATGGTCATCTTCAATTTCTTGGGTGGAAATGGAACCCTCTGTTATTCTTATAGTTCTTCCCAGAGCTTTCCAAGACACTATAAATAATTTTCCATCAAGTAATTTCCGAGTTATGAAGCTTGAAATAATTTCTTAATTTTACATAAATTATAAAATAATCATTTTTCGATGATCTTACCTCAATACTTATGCACAAAATTTATTAGTATAAAGAAAACAATCTTTTTTTTAGGAAAAAAAATGTAATTTGCAATTAACAGTTATTAACATTACATATTAATCGCCTGAGGAGATTAAAATGAAACACGTATATTTATGTAATTTTTATTAATTATTTAATTAAATATAAACGACTCTTAATTAATTGTAAATAATAAGTACAAAAAGAAACACACAGATTTATGTTTCGAGTTGTGCCAATCGACAAGAAATAATTTGATGATAATTGTTTTTTTACAGAATGGAGCTGTTATCAAATTCGGCAGAATGCATACTTTTCGATTCATCGACCCGGCGCCGGAAGAGCGCATTAGGCAGAGACATGACTCTAACAAGCAAATTGACTATGCTTATGATCGGTATGTTTAAAATTCGTACTCTTGTACTCTATTGTTGGTGTAATTAGATGAGAATAGTGGATGCACGAATGTTTTGCAGCATTCATATAATTCAGCTATGTTTATAATACGTTTTAGATGCACACATTTAGCTCGTTTACAACTATCAGTTATCATAATTGCTATATTAATAGATTTTACTTATTAAATTATAATTTTTATTAACGTTAAAGTTTTTATTTAAGCATCTGGGCTACAATAGTATGGAGCACTTTTAACAAATATCATGTTTCTAAATAAAAAGTGCACAGTACGAACCTATTGATAATATTGTAAACATTGAAATATAATTAAAATAATTAAATGAAATATAATTAATATAATTAATATAATTAAAAGATTAAAAAAAGTTTCTGATAAATCTAGTTGTCACACTTTATTAAGGGTTCTCCATACTTTCTTTAGGCTGTTAGCAGTGTTTGCTGTAGATAATTTCAAAATTATCTAGATAAAGATAAAGATAAAAATCCGTAAATTTATCTTAGATGGGATAAAGATGATTTTGCTTTTACTTAAGCTAGATGAAAGATGAGATGATTATTGCGATAATCTAGATAATTATCTAGATATTTTTATTTATTTTAGAAGACTAAATATTTGTAAAAATGTGACGCAGATTATAAATAGGATATTAAAATCATAAACACATATTCTTTCTCTTTTCCTAAAGAATATTTAAATAATAGCAAAAAGGTATATAAATGATATGATAAATATTTATTTATTAATTTATATTTATAATATATTTATAATATATTTATAATATATTAATAATAATAATATAAAAAATATATTTTAGATATTTTTATATATTTTATTATATTTTTATATATTAATAATAATATAAAAAATATATTTTATATATTTTTATATATTTTATTATATTCTTATATATTAATAATAATATAAAAAATATATTTTAGATAGATTTTTAGAAGCTTGCCTGAAAAACTTTTTTGCATAATGAAAACGTCATCTTAGACAATTTTCAGATAAGATGACATATTTTTCATCTAAGATAAAGATAAAGACACTTTGTATTTCTTCATCTAGTTAAAGATAAAGATGATCCATTTCTTTATCTAGACGATTATCTAGATAATTTTATCTAGATACCAGCAAACACTGACTGTTAGAGAACTCATTTTCCGATAGATTTTTTTATCACACTTTCCTTTGCCATTTTTCGTTGATTGATATTTATGTGGCTCGATTTTTGCTTCGATGTTTGCTTCTCCCATCGCAAATCCTTGCTTCGCGCGCACGTCACGACAGACGCTCGCCGGACGCAAGCAGTCAGGACATCAGCTCGGAAAAATTTCACCCGGGATCCGGGACGTTGAACGGCCAGACCGCGAACCAGGTCCAAGAGAGCGCGACCTCGTCGAGCCCGTCCAAGTCCGCCGTCGCAGCTCATAGTCCTCGTAGTCCCACGCACCCGCCAGAGCCCACGCACAATTACGAGACCACGTTCGATTTAGACGGAAACGTGGAGACGGCCAGTCTGAGCAGCAGCAGAGATGGCAACAGGTAGCGAAATGCGAGTCCATGAAGAGTTTACGACGCTTTACGTGACTTTGGACTGAGACAAAAGTACTTGGATCATACCAATGCGAACGATTATGACCTGTATAAAGTCTGCGTTCGAAGCAAACCATGTAGCAAAATTTATAATTTGTACAAAATTAATTTTCTTAATTTTGAGAAATTAGTTAATTTTCAATATAATTTAATTTTTATTGAAAAAATTTTTTTAGAATTCTTTGCTAATGTTAGATTAAAACAGCCTGTCAATCCAGTCAAGTTCTTCAGGATGCGTTCAATAATACAATTATTATAAGTGTTATTAAATCTGCAGTAAAAAGTATAAAGTATATTTCTTTGTGAATATTTTTTGTATTCATTTATAAATGTTTACAAAATTATTGTATTTATAAAAGAACTAAAATAATACACAAATTTATACTGGGTGTTAAAAAAGTCTGGACACAGTCGAATATCTTGATAAGGAAGAGATTATTAGAAAGTGTTTCAGACAAAATTTGTATAGCTTGAAGGGGGCCATAAGATAGTGTCATTGGTTTTACCTTGAAAAGTCGTTTGAAGGTCACGTGAGAGTCACCTCCAACTTTTTGAATGAGACACCCTATATACTTTTGCATATTCTTGTAGTTCATCTCGAGAGCTTTTCAAAACACTATAATTAAGTTAGTTTTTATTAAGTATTTTCCGAGTTATAAGGCTTGAAATAATTTCTTAATTTTACATAAAATATCTAGTAAAATATTCATTTTTCGATTATCTTACCTTAATACTTTTATATACAAAATAATAAGAGGAATCAATTGGTGTAAAGAAAAAACAGTTGTTTTTAAGCAAAAATATGTAATTTGCAATTAACAATTACATATTTCTTTTCTAAAAACAACTATGCGTTTTCTTTATATCAATTGATTCCTCTCATTATTTTGTACATAAAAGTATTAAGGTGAGCTTATCGAAAAATGTATATTTTATAAGATATTTTACGGTTTATGTAAAATTAAGAAATGATTTCGAGCCTCATAACTCGGACAGTACTTAATGAAAACTGACTTAATTGTAGTATTTTGGAAAGCTCTCGACGTGAGCTACCAGACTATTCAATAAAAAATAGATGGTTCCATTGAAAAAATTGAAGGTGATCTTCATGTTACCTCCAAATAACTCTTCAAGGTCAAACCAATGGTACCATGTTATATCCCCCTCGAAACCATACAACTTTTGCCTGAAACACTTTCTAGTAAAACTTCCTTATCGAGATATTCGACCAGACTTTTTAACATCTAGTGTCCAGACTTTTTTAACACCTAGTATATTAATTTTTTTTTGAGGAATTAATATTACGACCGTGTCCAGACTTTTTTAACACCTAGTATATTAATTTTTTTTAGAAATAATATTATATATTTATTTTTGAAAAAAAGAGAACAATTAGAAAATTTGAATCCAAATCGGAAAATTAACTCGTATCAATTGTTGACAGGCTTTCACAGTACGATCGGCAGCCGCGAGGCACGGATCCAATCCTGCCGGCTGTTTTGGAATTTCTCGAAGAGACAGAGGAGACATTCCTTCACGCGGTCATCACCGACGTGGAGCCCTCAGCGCCGCAGTTCAAGCTGGCACCAACTTATACACTCTACCTGAGCGCGAGATATCGCGCCAGCACGCACTATAGACCTGAACTACAACCTACCGAAAGGGCACATCGACTCACCGTCATGCTAGCAAATGTTGCTACCATGATTCAACGTGTTATCCAGGTATCAACGAATGATAATTTTCTCCCATTTCAACAGACTCGAAAATAATCTACCCTAGATTATCTAGAAGAAGATTATCTAGAACCTAATCTAGAAACATATCATCGCAGTTTGGATATTTACATCCTATACAAGTAGATATACAGGGTGTCCCAAAAGTCCCAGATCGGTCGAATATTTCATAAACTATACACTTTAGAAAGAAATGTTTCAGACAAAAGTTGTATGGCTTGAAGGGGGCCATCAGATAGTGACAATGATTTGACATGGAAGAGTCATTTGAAAGTTACGTGAAGATCACCGTCAATTTCTTAAATGGAACTCCCTATTTTTTATTACATATTCGTGTAGCTTATCTCGAGAGCTTTCCAAAACACTATAATTAAACATTTCTTCATTGAGTACTTTTCGAGTTATGAGGCTTGAAATTATTTCTTAATTTTACATAAACCGTAAAATATCTTATAAAATATTCATTTTTCGATTATCTTACCTTAATAACTTTATGTACAAAATAATGAGAGAATTCAGTTGGTGTAAAGAAAACACATAGTTGTTTTTAAAAAAAATATGTAATTGTTAATTGCAAATTACATATTTTTTTTTTAAAAACAACTATGTTTTCCTTTACATCAATTGATTTCTCTCATTATTTTGTACATAAAATTATTAAGGTAAGATAATCGAAAAATGAATATTTCACAAGATATTTTATGGTTTATATAAAATTATAAGAAATAATTTCAAGCCTCATAACTCGAAAAGTACTCAATAAAGAAATACTTTATTATAATGTTTTGGAAAGCTCTCGAGATAAGCACGAATATGTAATAAAAAATAGGGGGTTCCATTTAAGAAATAGGGGGTTCCATTTAAGAAATTGACGGCGATCTTCACGTGACTTTCAAATGACTCTCCCATGTCAAATCATTGCCACTATCTGATGGCCTCCTTCAAGCCATACAACTTTTGTCTGAAACATTTCTTTCTAAAATGCATAGTTTATGAAATATTCGACCGGTTTGGGACTTTTGGGACACCCTGTATAGGAATACACGTGAATAGTAGAGTTTTCAAGGGAGATTGCATTTCTTCAGGAACGTTACATGGACGCCTCGTCCTTGGCCTTTTGGCTGGCAAACGGCTCGGAGCTATTGCACATGCTAAAGAGCGACCGACACGTGGGTGCATTTTCCACGCGAGCCCAGGACATCCTGGCGGACGCGGTGCACACGGCCTTCGGCTCGCTGGTGCGTTGCGTCACGCTGGAACTAACCCCGGCGATGACGCAGTTCATGGCGGACGCGGACGAGCCGGCGAAGGAGGCCGGGGTGCTGCAGATCTTCTCCAATACGATGGCGCTGCTGCGACGATGCCGAGTGAACGCCGCGTTGACGATCCAATTGTTCAGCCATCTGTTCCACGCGATCAACGCTACGGCCTTCAACACCCTCGTTTCCAACGGGAACTTGTGCGTCAGGTGGTTCGGACGCAGGCTCAAAGCCAGGCTGAACGCCCTGGAGACTTGGGCCGAGAGACAGGGATTGGAACTTGCCAGTCAGTGCCACTTGGCGACGATCATGCAGGCGACTCACCTCTTACAGGCTCCCAAATACAACGCCGAGGAACTGGCCACGTTGAGCTCAACTTGTTTCAAACTGAATTCTCTGCAGGTCAGAGCATTATTACAAAAGTATCAGCCTGCTGCGGACGAGCCTAGGTTACCTGCCGAATTGATCGAGAATGTTGTGAGAGTGAGTACATAAAGACTATATAATTTTGATCTTTGTTAATAATCGTAAAATTGTAAGAACATTATTATACAAGATGTTTCATTTTAATTTCCCCAGGCAAATAATGAAATTCGGAAAATAATGAAAAATCGAAAAAATGTTACAGACAAAAGTTGTATGGTTTCTAGGGGGACATAAGATGGTGCTATTGGTTTGATCTTGAAGAGTCATTTGAACGTCACGTAAAGGTCACTTCAATTTTTTTAAATGGAACACCCTATATATTTTTGCACATTCTTGTAGCTCATCTCGAGAGCTTACCAAAACACTATAATTAAGTTAGTTTTCATTAAGTACTTTCCGAGTTGTAGGCTTGAAATAATTTCTTAGTTTTACATAAATCATAAAATATCGAGTAAAATATCTAGTAAAATATTCATTTTTCGATTATCTTACTTCAATACTTTTATGTACAAAATAATGAGAGGAATTAATTAGTGTAAAGAAAACACATCATTGTTTCTAAGAAAAAATATGTAATGTGCAATTAACAATTACATATTTTTTTCTTAAAAACAATTATGTTTTTCCTTTACACCAATTGATTTCTTTCATTATTTTGTACATAAAAGTATTAAGGTAAGATAATCGAAAAATGAATATTTTACTAGATATTTTATGGTTTATGTAAAATTAAGAAATAATTTCAAGTCTCATAACTCGAAAAGTACTTAATGAAAACTAACTTAATTATAGTGTTTTGGAAAGCTCTCGAGATGAACTACAAGAATGTGCAAAAATATATAGGGTGTTCCGTTTAAGAAATTCAAAATCATATTTACGTAACCTTCATGTGACTCTTCAAGGTCAAAGTAATGGCACCATCTTATGTCCCCCTAGAAACCATACAACTTTTGTCTGAATCATTTTTTCGATTTTTCATTATTTTCCGAAATATTTGCCTGGGAAAATTAAAATGAAACACCCTGTATATGATCAATCTTTGTTAGGTGGCAGAGAGTGTCGCGGATACACTTGCGCGTGCGGATGGTCGTGAAATAAGGCTGGAAGAGGAACCTATCCTAGGATTGGCGTTACTACTTCCCGAGGATGGTTACAGTTGCGAGGTAATAAGAGGCGTTCCACCAGGACTAGCCGAGTTTCTAGCACCTCTGCAACGAGACGGTTTATGTCGCATGGCGGCCCAACCCACCAGCAGTGGCTATTGGACCATTTACATGATAGATCATCACAACAATGTAAGCTTCTACCATTATAATTTCAAATAAAATAATATTTATGCGCACGGCTTTTAGGGGAAAACTTAATTAACAAGCAAATTGTAGTTTTTACGATCTGATGAAAAATTCTTTTTATATATTTTATTAATTTTTCCTTAATTAGTTTATTAATATTCCTAGTTTAAATAACCATTATATTCATATATTAACACGTAGTTTTTTTTATACTTTGCAGTTGCGCAGCCCCAGTGCGATGAGCAACAGATCTGGCGGCTACACCAGTCACGTCAACCAAAATCAAGCTCAACCAGAAATACATGTCATTAAATTACACAAGAGTACTAACGGTATGGGTTTGAGCATTGTTGCGGCAAAAGTATGTATTTTCAATCTCGTTTATTTGCATATCTATTAATTATAATTATATATATAATATAATTATATATATATATATATATATATATATATATATATAAAATTATATTATATGATTTTTTCAAATTTTGTTAATTTTTTTAAATTTGGTTCATTTTTTAAAATTTTTGTTGTAGGGCGCAGGACAGGACCGATTAGGTATCTACATCAAAAGCGTTGTTGCTGGTGGCGCTGCTGATGCTGTAAGCAATTGTTATTCATTCAAAAAAAAAAATTTACTATTCATACAACATTTGAGTTTGTATTTAAAATAATATTTAATATAAATATATTAAAGAAATATTTGCACATGAAAATATTTCCATCATATGAAGGATTTCCATCATTACGCTTTCAAATAAAATAAAATTTTTTATTATATCAAAAATAATCAAATTGACTATTTTCAAAATAAATTAAGAAAAAAGATTATGAAAAAAGATTTGATTATAATATTTTGGACTAAGAGAATCCCATAGGTCTAGGATAGGATATAAGTGCGTTTTCAACAAGGAGATTAATAAATAAAAAATTCTAATCCAGAGGAACGTGTCTCTCAATTAATATTTTTTACAACAAGATACATAAAATATTTATATTTCATTAAATGATTTTTAATTTAGTTTTGTATACCTATTTTTTCATAGGACGGCAGATTAACAGCAGGCGATCAATTGCTCAAGGTGGACGGTCAAAGTCTAGTCGGGATTACACAAGAAAAGTAAGGCAGAGATACTGTGGAATATTTAATCTTAAAAAAAGTGTAATAAATCCTTTAAATTATTTCATTCTCTTTATATCATTAAAATTTCACAGGGCTGCCGAGTATCTTGTGCGTACTGGTCCGATAGTGACACTGGAAGTTGCTAAACAAGGTGCTATATATCACGGACTTGCAACATTGTTATCTCAACCTTCCCCTGTGATGACAAGAGGTAAGTGGAAAGTTTATAATAATGCTATAATTTTTGATGCCAATTTAGCTCTTGAAATAAGAAAGGAATAATCGAAGCCTTATTGTCTGGTTCTCCATATAATCGATACGTTTCAAATAACGATAAAATCGTTGACGAAAGGGATTCTATTTATACATCATAATCTACAGTGTCTATCAAAAGTTCTGGGACGGTTGAATATTTCATAAACTATGCACTTTAGAAAGAAATGTTTCAGACAAAAGTTGTAGGGTTTTAAGTGACGCATTACACAGTAATATTATTATGACCTTGAAGAGTGTTATTAAAATCACGTCAAGATCACTTTCAATTTCTTAAACAGAACCCCCTATTTTTTTATTACCTATTCTTGTAACTTATCTCGAGAGCTTTTCAAAACACTACAATTAAGTTAGTTTAAGTACTTTCCGTGGCTTAAAATCATTTCTTAATTTTACATAAACCGTAAAATATTTTGTAAAATATTCATTTTTTGATTATCTCAACTTAATACTTTTATGTATAAAATAATGAGAGGAATCAATTGGTGTAAAGAAAACGCATAGTTGTTTAAAAAAAATATGTAATTGTTAATTGCAAACATATTTTTTTCTTAAAAACAACTATGTTTTTTCTTTACACCAATTGATTCCTCTTATTATTTTGTACATAAAAGTATTAAGATAGTCAAGATAATCGAAAAATGAATATTTTTCCAGATATTTTATGGTTTATGTAAAATTAGAGAAATTATTTCAAGCCTCATAACTCGTAAAGTACTCAATGAAGAAATACTTTATTATAGTGTTTTGGAAAGCTTTCGAGATAAGCTACACGAATATGCAATAACAAATAGGTTCCATTTAAAAAAAATTGAAGGTGACCTTCACGTAACCTTCAAAGGACTTTTCAAGGTCAAACCAATGACACCTTCTTATGGCCCTCTTCAAGCCATACAACTTTTGTCTGAAACATTTCTTTCTAAAATGCATAGTTTATGAAATACTCGACCGTCCCGGAACTTTTGATAGGCTCTGTATAGTGTAGTATGTTATGAAATATCAACTCGAGTATCCTATCTTTTTCTTTTATGAATAATTTACTTGTATATCAATAACAAAGAGTTTTAAGAAAGTCATCGCGTGAGAAGCTTGCATTAGGAAACTCAATTATGATGCAATTGCAAGAGTGTATTACAAGAGGAATCAAAGTTTTAAGCTAAAATAAATGATTGCTCGACTGAGATCGATCTCGCCACCCTTTCGCTTCAAGAACACGTGTCGGCGGGGTTTTATTTTCCACATAAATCGGCACAGCGGGCGTTTACTAGTCCGAATATCTCCGTTAGAGTAACGTCTTCCGCTTCGCTTCGCTCGGAAAGAGCCCGCTTTACTAACGCTTGACTAACCCCTTGTTTCGTGCAGCGCATAAAACAACTCGGCCAAGGTCCGAGCTCTTAGATCCAGCGATAGGAACAACGGAGACGGCTGTCGGTGGTCAGCCAACCACGTCACACTCGATGGGCGACTTGTTGTCCTTCCCGCAGCAGGCGGCGTATTGTCAGGACTTTGTCCAACCAGGTGCGATCCCGTCTCGACGCGTCGAGGCACCCATTTACCGTAATCAGCTCGATCTAGGTTTCCCAAGAGTCGATGATTTCGCGCGGCAGGATCCCTTCTCTGTCCTCTATCAGAGAGGCGCGTGTCCCATCGACGAGAGGGAATACGTCCCACGTCCTTCCACCCCCACCGTCTCCCCCGCGCGGCTCCCGAGAACCCGCATGCCCTGTCCTCTGATCTCCATCACGAGCGACAACGAGATATCGTCCGTTTTATATCAGGACGAGAGCGACGTGAGCGACGATAAGATCGTAGAGGAGGAAGAGAGTAACCCGGAATTGGGCGAACTCGCGACGAGTAGCTTGAATTATTCAACGGACGCTTTAAGTCCATTCGAGAGGATCACCTCTCCGCCCCAGGAATTCGCAGAGACTGATTACGAGCACCCGCTGACGTTCGATAGGAATGTTTTTGATGCTATACCCTACATCGATCAAACTGATGACGCTAATCTCGCGGAGTGTAGAGTCCAGGCAGAATCGAGTGGCAAATGCTGCGATAAGACCGACTGCAACTCTAATCTTGAGGATTTTCGGGAGAGGCGTAAAAGAGTGGATTGCAGTAGTCGACAGACTTTAAATGTTCCGCGATCCAATTTTGAGATGAGTCTACCTTGCAATCACGATTTCTCGTCGACCAACACTCGCTTGTTGTCCGCTGATAGAATATTATCCATCGAATCCAAGTTGGAAGACCCTCCCTTGCAGCTTCAAGCGAATAACAACGCATGTAGTACGTTAAACATCGACGAATGCTGCGAGAACAAGATGTTGGATGATGTTTCCAACTCGGAAGATTGCGCGGACGAGTCGAGCTCCACACTTAATGATGATTACGGGTCAAGTAGAGTCGACGGAGATGCCGAGGATGGGATTTCCACTCCCAAGATGTACACCATAATGCCAGAGCTGCATCTCGATCTGAGTGGGCTGAACAGCGATGTGTCCAGCGACGAGTCCAAGACGGAAAAGTGCTGGAAGTCCCCGGAAGAGGTGCGTTTAGGGTGCGGCAGAGTCGCAGCGTTAGCGAAACACTTCTCGAAACTTGGCGACGCTGGCTTGATCAAGTTCAAGTCCACCAAATTAACTGATTCCCGTCAGTTTGTGTCGGAGCCGAGCATTATATTGTCGGAAAAGGACAGCGAACGACTTTTGCATCGGTCTCTGCCCATCGCGCAGAAGGAATACAAATCGGATTCCAACTTGACGAGAGACTCGACAAAGAACTCTCGAATCCGCCCAATTGGGAAACGTGTCATTTTGGTTGACGTTGAAGCCGACAGAAATGATGATCTCGAGCTCGAGGAATCTCGTCATCACGGTGTCAAGCGAGTCACCATTGCCAGGGTTCCTTTAATGGATAATAATAAAGATCGAATCATGATTGATACCAAAGGAAGATCAGGCTTGGCATCTTCAGCAGAAGATGATCAAGTGATCCCAATATGCAGCAAGAAGGATGCGAAGATTGAAGACGATAATATGGCAACTGATGGTGATAAATCTGAGATTCTCATTGATAGTGAACCGGAAAAGATGAACAGCACAGATAGTACTTCCAGGCTCTCCTTGGAACAGCAGCAAGTGATCTCGAAACAACTCGAGCAGTTCTCAAACCTGGATAACACTGATGCTCCTTTGTTTATACCGGAGCAAAGCGTGAAGGTTCCTCTCGATTCGTCGAAGAGTAATCTGGGTAGTTTGAATTTGATGGATCAATCAACGGCGTCTCTAGAGAAATTATCATCGCTGATTGATACAAATGATAGCAGAAGAACCAAGCAAGCTTCCGACTCCTCGTCGTCCTCTTCTCCGCCTTCCCCTTCATCTTCCATTGTATTATCGCTCTCGAATGTTGTCGAAGATCCTCCGTTTTCGAAAGACATCAGAACGCAAGCTCGTCAATCTTGCAGGAAACGTCCCAAGTCTTGCCTGCTCATCGACATCTGTCACTCTTCCGCTAAAATTTCCAACTCCAATTCTTTGGAAAGTCCGTCGATGCTTCCGTCACGTTCAGGGAACAACAAGTTGAATATTCTGCGGGTGCGAGTCGCCAGATCGCTCTGTAGCAGCGAGAATAATCTAATTGGCGCTGCAATTTGCGAGAAAGAAGACAATCTTCACGACGGATCCACCAAATTGACACATAGCTATGAAAGCATCCTAAGCAGCAAGTTCCCATCTGATTCTGCCGATCGACTCTCTCTGAAAGACCCTAGTGAAGATATCGTTGCACTTCGTACTTCTTGTAACAGACCGGGTCTTAAGGAAAAGACCCGATGGTACCGTCCACACTCTCTCGAAGAACTGAAACTGGAGAAAGGATCAAGAAAGAAGGACAACTCGATGAATTCTACTTCGGCCAAAGTTGAAGCAGGATTTGGCAGAGAAGACAACCTTCGCGGTAGGTCCACCAAGTTGACACATAGCTATGAAAACATCCTAAGCAGCAAGTTTCCATCTGATTCTGCCGATCTACTCTCTAAAGACCCTAGTGAAGATATCGATGCACTTCGTACCTCTTGTAACAGACCGAGTCCCAAGGAAAAGACTCGATGGTACCGTCCACGCTCTCTCGAAGAGCTGAAACTGGAGAAAAGATCAAGAAAGGAGGACAACTCGATGAATTCTACTTCGGCCAAAGTTGAAGCAGGATTTGGCAGAGAAGACAACTTTCGCGGTAGGTCCACCAAGTTGACACACAGCTATGAAAGCATCCTAAGCAGCAAGTTCCCATCTGATTCTGCCGATCTACTCTCTAAAGACCCTAGTGAAGATATCGATGCACTTCGTACCTCTTGTAACAGATCGAGTCCCAAGGAAAAAACCCGATGGTACCGTCCACGCTCTCTCGAAGAGCTGAAACCCAAGAGGGGATCGAGAAAGAAGGACAACTCGACGAGTTGCACTAAAGTTCAAGCAAGACTTGGCAGATTCTTCGGCGATAAATCAGACTCCAAGAACGGAGGGGAAACGCGAGAGAATCGTCATTTGTCCCTTGAAGAATTGAGCTCGAGGAGGGAATCTCGCAACAATCGCAGGCACTCGAGCGAGATGGCCGAGGTACAGAGGTCCGACTGGACGCTAAGGAAGAGATTTCGCGCGAAGCTTCGCACGAGCTGCGATCAGCCGAGAGAAAGCGCGTACCAATTGTCGCGAGGGAACGAGAAACGTCAAGGGGTCGGAGAACGGGAGTGTCGGAGCGAGTTGGACGTTTCGCGAAGTCCAAAGTCCAAAGATTCGGGGAGGAACGGTTGGAGCTTTCGCGAGATCAGCTCGATGCGTAAGCCACCACCACGTGTGTTTATGCATTCGGTGTGCGTTCAGTTATCGAATTTTTCTTTCCTCGAGCACTCTCTTGCCTGAACACGTGGCAGTCGACATTCCCAGGCGATTCAATGTCGCACGCAATTTTTTTTTAGATCCGCATTTAGATCCCTTTTATTTTATACGTTCCTTGACGTCCCCACGAAAGTCATTCTCGCAACTCGTTATTTTACAGCATGTAATAGTGGAAAGAGCGATCGAGTCAAAAAACTGATCAAATTATTTCTATAAGAGAGATTATCAGTGTTTGCTGTAGATAATTTCAAAATTATCTAGATAAAGATAAAGATAAAAATCCGTAAATTTATCTTAGATGAGATAAAGATGATTTTGCTTTTACTTAATCTAGATGAAAGATGAGATGATTATTGCGATAATCTAGATAATTATCTAGATATTTGTGTTTATTTTAGAAGACTATAAATATTTGTAAAAAATGTGACGCAGATTATAAATGGGATATTAAAATCATAAACACATATTCTTTCTCTTTTCCTAAAGAATATTTAAATAATAACAAAAAGGTATATAAATAATATGATAAATATTTATTTATTATAATTTATATTTATAATATATTTATAATCTATTTATAATATATTTATAATATATTAATAATATAATGATCAATGTATAACAGTATATATATCATTTTTATAAAATATATGTACATTGCATTGCACAAATTTAAGTAAAACAAGTACAAGATAAAGTATATTTGTAATATTATTTTCCAAATAAAAAATATATTTTAGATATTTTAGATAGATTTTTAGAAGCTTGTCTGGAAAACTCTTTTGCATAATGAAAACGTCATCTTAGACAATTTTTAGATAAGATGATATATATTTTTTATCTAAGATAAAGATAAAGATACTTTATATTTCTTCATCTAGTTAAAGATAAAGATGATCCATTTTTATCTAGATAATTATCTAGATAATTTTATCTAGATACCAGCAAACACTCGAGATTATATTGGATATATTTCAAATCAAACATAGACTGAAATAACTTTAGTCCACGATTAAATAGAATATACGACATATAATGTATTCCAAAATAATTAAATTTCTCAAACAACGTAATTTTCATTTTTTTATAACGTTATTTGCATTATAAAAAATCGAAAATGAAAGATATATTTTTTTTTAATAAAATTAGAATTCTCTTAAGAATCAAGAAATTTGATCAGTTTTCGATATAAATGCATTGATTAATATATATAATTTATGTTAAATTATTTTAGAACAATATCTAACTTTGCTTCAGGCAAAAGTGGAATCAAGTGTCACTTTGCAAAGTATAAAATATGATTTTTGTTAATTCCAAAATGATTTAACACTTAGATGATACATTATCACAATTTTTATACAGGGTGCCCCCGAACGTTCCAACCAGATTTTGAGATCTTATAGGAAATTTAATTCTGAATAAAAAATTTCCGATAAACATGGATCGAAAAATGCTTCCTTAAGAAGTTATCGCTCAAAAATCTCTGATGAAGGAAGAGCAAAGGGTGAAAAGAAAATGAAATAAAAAGAAAATGAAACTAAATAAATTTTTTGAAAAAAACGATAAAAATAAAACATAAAAATCTTTTTCTTTTATGAAAATAAAATAATTTTTTTTTACCTAACTTTTATCTGCGATAATTTCTTAAGGAAGCATTTTTCGACCCATGGAAATTTCTTGTTCAGAATTAAATTTCCTATAAGATCTCAAGGTCTGGCTGGAACGTTCGGGGCCACCCTGTATATTTTCATTGTTTTAGAAACAATAATACATGTAATTTTACTCACATCATTTGAAATAAGAAAAATGTTAATTATAGATTGCGACCAAATAATAATTTTTCTAAGTATCATACATTTATTTTTATTTTTAATTCACTTGATTGCACTCAAACAAACTAGTCATATAATTGCAAACATGCATGCAGTGTCGTACATATGTTTATAAATACTATTTAATATTATATTATGTGTATACAAGGTGGCTTTTTTTTCTAACATAATGTCTTCTACTAATGAAATCAATGAATTACTTAAATATCATTCTTGGATATTGATTAATTATAATATTTAATAACACACACTCGAAATTATTTTATCTATTGTAAATATATTCAATTGTCGAGAAAGCAGCTTGCAATATTTATAGAGACCATCTTATATAAAACAATAATATAATGCGAATGCAAACTCTTGCTCATACACACACAATATAGCTTTAGCATGTCATGACCATAAGTATAGTCTTACACTTAGCCATATGACATTAACAGGATTGGGAAGTAATATTACTTGTAACATCTAAATTATATAACATACATTTTGTCTATAAAAAGCAACTTCGGTAACCAATAGCGATCAATAATTACTTGTCGAATTTACGTGGCATATAACATCATATATAGAAACACGAGAGAAGTATTAAATTCTTTTAAAAATTAATAAACTTATTTTAATAAATTTTTACTTTTATTTTAAACCAGATCATGTATAATTTTTGTAAATTTTTTGCATACTGGAAACAAATTTGATTCGTAAATAAACGTTAGAATTTTTAAATTACACAATATTAAACATGCAAAAAAAAGATGATATTAATTACAAATTTCTATAAAAAGAAAAAATTAAGAAAACATTTTTATTTAATTTATTTAATTTATAATGTTAAATTAATTTTATATAATATCTGGTTTTGTTTTTTTTTTCTTTTTCAAAAGTGGAACTTAGTGTCACTTTGCAAATTATAAAATATATTTTTATACCAAAATGATACAATTTTCCTCTAATACACATGATTATAATGCATTTTTTTATTTATATCTTTGGAAGTGTATTTTATTTATTTATATTAATTATTTTATTTATTTATATTAATTGAATTTTTTTTATTTATATAATTAGAAAAACATAAGGAAAAAATCTTTTCAGAATTTTTTTGAAAAAAATGTTCTCCAACATTAAGATTTAAATTATTATTGAAAATTATTACTTTAATATTAAATATTTATTATTTATTTTTAAAAAATATTTTTTTAAAGAAATGTTCTCCAACATTAAGATTTGAAATTATTATTGAAAATTATTATTCTTCAATATTAAATATTTATTATTTATTATTTAAAAATATTTTTTGAAAGAAATGTTCTCAAACATTAAGATTTGAAATTATTATTGAAAATTATTACTCTTCAATATTAAATATTTATTATTTATTATTTAAAAATATTTTTTGAAAGAAATGTTCTCCAACATTAAAATTTGAAATTATTTTTGAAAATTATTACTTTACTATTAAATATTTATTATTTATTATTTAAAAATATTTTTTGAAAGAAATGTTCTCTAGCATTAAGATTTGAAATTATTATTGAAAATTATTACTCTTTAATATTAAATATTTATTATTGATTATTTAAAAATATTATTGCTTCGACAGCGATATTAATAATATACATTTTTGTTATATATTAATATAAAAAAAAATATTCAAAAATATAAATTTCATGTGTTTGTTCTCGGTCTTGTAATAATGTTAAAAATAAATAACAAAAATTGTCTTGTAACGACTCGTTGCTTTTTAAAATCGGTGACTTTTACAAGGTACTTTTCCCAACCCTGACATTCTCCCTCTCAAAGTGTGTCGATGTCGATGTATCTCGCCTCGAAACACTTTGGCAACCCTAGAAAAGGGCGTTCTATTCTCGACGAATGCGCTGCTTCTCGCTCCCATACGTGCATGAGTTGTCATTTAATATCGCGCCACGGCACTTTTGCGCGTTCACCGATGCATTAACTCAAAGCCGTCTCTTTGTGTACCCGCTTGGGCTACCCGCAGGTCCACGTCGCATGAGCGAGCGGGATCTACCGTCCCGGCTTGGACACGACGCTACTCCTCAGCAAATCCACAGCAGCAAGTCCGTACCAGCATTGCATAGTAAGTAAGAGTACACTTAAGCAGCTTTGTGTGTGCGTCATGCATAAATTGTCTCCGGATCACTCGGCTTTTTATTTTCGCGAATTTCATGCTGAATGCTGAATTAAATATAAGTTAGAAGAGGGAGAGACTTGGATGTAATAATTTGATGAAATAGAATTTTTTCATTAAAGATTATGTATTTAATCGACCTGCGAATTGGATTTATCTAGATATGGGCAACGAGGTCAAGCAACAGCACGAGGTGTTCAACCCAGGATACAGCAGAGCCTCCTCGAGCAACAGCGTTACGCCACCTGTTCAACCACCTTCCATGGCGACCATCACCAGCGCAACTTCTTTGCGATCCAGGTAAATATAATGTCAAATTTATTTTTTATTATTTACTTTTATTATTTATATTTATATAAATTGATTATTTATTAATTTTATTTATAAATTGTTTATAAATTATTTATAAATTTTATTTATAAATTATTTATAAATTATTTATAAATTATTTATAAATTTTATTTATAAATTATTTATAAATTATTTATAAATTTATTATTTATTTATTTTATTTTTACATCTTTCATATTTTATTATTACATCGTTTGATAATTAATTGAGACCACTCTCAATAATCTTAGTTTTCTTAGTTTTCATTTATTAAGATGTATCTTAACAAATTTTCATATATATTTATTTTCTAAGAAACTGTAAAACAATTCTTAATAATTACAAAGATCAATGTTTTGAGTTTATCAATTATAAAATCAAGTTTAATACATGTAATTAATTTTTCTTATTAAAATTTGGCCAGTTAGAGTGAGGATGTAATTTTGAAATTCATGTAAATTAAAATAATATTATGAATACATAATTTAATTAAAAATTATATATTTAATGCAAATGCAAATTAATAATAATAATAATGTATCTTAATAAATTTTCATATATATTTATTTTCTAAGAGACTGTAAAACAATTCTTAATAATTACAAAGATCAATTTTTTGAGTTTATCAATTATAAAATCAAGCTTAATACATGTAATTAATTTTTCCTATTAAAATTTGACCCGGTTAGAGTGGGAATGTAATTTTGAAATTCATGTAAATTAAAGTAATATTATTATGAATATATAATTTAATTAATAATTATATATTTAATGCAAATGCAAATTAATAATAATAATAATGTATGCGTAGGTCGAGTCATAACTTGCACGATCCCATGAGGATCGGGACTTTACCGCCTAGTGGATTGGTCAGCAGGCAGCAGTCGTCGCCCAATTTAAATCCGACGCATACGAATGTACCATCGAATATGCAAAATGCAGAAGCGGAGAGATTTTACCAGAATCTGAGCATTTATCGAAATCAAGACTCGACGATGAAACAACAAATTAGTCCACAACAGTTGGAGGACAGGTACAGGATATGTACTCATACTCTCTATTCTTAATTACATGTTTTTTTTTTTTCATTTTTTTTCCTTTTTTTCTTTCCTTTTTTTCTTTTTTTCCCCTTTTTCATTTTTTATCATTTCTTTTATATATTTTCATTTCATGTACATATTTGATCACATATGCGTATAAAAAAAATATTATTGTGTATAGAAGAATTTTAAAATAGATTTATACTCTCTGAAAAATCTCGAATTTTCAAAGATTTTTTGTATCTTGAAAAATCAGAGAATTTTCATGGAATTTTATTGAGACTCAGAGATTTAAAAAGATTTTTTTTTAAATTTTCTTTTTGATAATTTTGCTCTTATCGTAAACAATAAGCCAAGAATTTTAATTATATACCTTCTAAAGATAATTGATATGTATTAAGTTTTAGTATCAGATGATTTCATGAAAATAATTAATTTTACCAATGGCTATAAATGTGTACATTATTTTTCAGAGATTTCAAATATTTTTCAATTTTTCTTTTTGTTTAATAATTATAAATATATTTAAAAAAAAAAGATAATTGAGAAAAAATAATAAAATAATTTTTCCAATCTCAATAAATTATCTTTAAAAAGCCTAAAATAAATATATATTTGTCTCTGTTTAAATATTTAATGTCTTAAACAAAATTTTAAATATGCAGTACATACTCTTTATTGTAATTTTTATAATAAATAAATGATTAATAATTATGATAAATAAATGAAAATATTAATAAAAAATGTTTATCTTACTATTCAGTTTTCTTTTTCAATACATTGCGAATCTGACGCTTGAAACTTAAGCGATTCTGATCTTTTTTCTTTGTATGAGTAAGAAGCCTTAGAAAATGGAAACAGTAAAAAATTTTATTTTAGAAAATTGAAAAAAAATTTTGAAAATATTCTATTTATCTAGAATTTTGAATAAAAACACCTGAAAGATCAAGGAATATTTTTAAAGAGATTTGAGTAGACACTCTTCTATTCTTAAGTAACTCTCGCTACTTTAAATAATCTTCTAAAATTTTATTTTAGAAAATTGAAAAAAAATTTTGAAAATATTCTATTTATTTAGAATTTTGAATAAAAATAATCCTGAAGGACCAAGGAATATTTTTAAAGAGATTTGAGTAGACACTCTTCTATTCTTAAGTAACTCTCGCTACTTTAAATAATCTTCTAAAATTTTATTTTAGAAAATTGAAAAAAAAGTTTTGAAAATATTCTATTTATCTAGAATTTTGAATAAAAATACTTGAAGGATCAAGGAATATTTTTAAAGAGATTTGAGTAGACACTCTTCTATTCTTTCTTAAGTAATTGTCGCTACTTTAAATAATCTTCACATTAATAATCGTCACCGTTTTACAGAAACCCTCAGCCAATTCAAAAGAGTTCCCTGAGAGGCTCGCAAAACTCGTTGAACCGACCATCTGGCACTCTGGAAACCAGTGGCACCCACCTCCGGGAGCGTCCGACGTCCGCGTACGTCCCCCAATCTCAAGGTCAGCAGCAGCAGCAGCAGCAAGGCTACTCGGTGATCGGTAACCAGCAGATGCAGCAGCAGACCGGGGGTCCGCCTCCACCGCGTTCCCAGTCCTCGCGCGACATAATTCGTCAGGAGGCCAAGATGCAGGAGATGCAAGAGGAAGTTCGTCGGCGCGAGCTACGAGGCGGTGGCGCGCCGATATTGAATCAACACAGACCTCCAGCGGCGATGTACAACACAATGGGTACTCGAGTGGCCGCGCCTCCAGCTCAGCAGGCTTCGAATAATACCCTGATGAATGTTCGCTCGCCAAGAACGCCGCTGGGCTCCACGTCAAGTCTGGGCGCGAATCCCGGCTACGTCGCGAGGCAAAACGCGCCCGGTTACAATTACTCGGACACCCAGTATACTCAGTACAATAGCGCGCAGTACGGCCAGTACAATCAGTACCCGAACCGAAACCCAATCTCTGCTGCTGGTCAGTACGGTCCGATGATGCCCAAGCCGAAGAATGAGGCGCCAATCGTTCGGGGTCACCATCCGATGCCCGGTGAGAACCTGCTCGGCGCTCGAGACTCGAACAACCAGGAGGCGAGGTCGTACGCCGAGCAGAACCGACATTTTATCGGTTCGCAGAACAGCTCGATTTATCCAAATGGTAACTTGGAGCAGCGCGTTGATCAGTACACGAGTGACGGGGTCGTTGGTCGACCGCAAAACGGGGAGGGTCATTCTATGACAACCTCGGAAACTCTGCCGACCAGGCCGGCTCTGCCATCTGATAACACGTTTAACGAGAGCCCGCCACCACCGCCACCGAGCACCTCGACGCATCCTCTGTACAAGCAAGCTGACACGAGGTATGTGTGTCTTGATGTATCCTTGATATCCTCGTAGAATCACTTACAAGTTGTAATTTTCCACTCAACAATATAACTGTTACATAACATGTAACTGTTATACAACTGTTACATAACATATACAGGGTGGTTTAAAAGTCTGGAAACGGTCAATTATCTCCGAAAATAGTAGTCCTGTGGGAAAATGTTTCAGACAAAAGTTGTAGGGTTTTAAGTGACGCATTACACAGTAATATTACTATGACCTTGAAGAGTGTTGTTAAGGTCACGTCAAGATTTAATTTCTTAAACAAAATCCCCTATTTTTTGTTACATATTCTTGTAGCTTATCTTGAGAGCTTTCCAAAACACTATAATTAAGTTAGTTTTCATTAAGTACTTTCCGAATTATGAGGTTTGAAAGCATTTCTTAATTTTACATAAACCGTAAAATATCTTGTAAAATATTCATTTTTTGATTATTTTACCTTAATACTTTTATGTACAAAATAATGAGAGGAATCAATTGGTGTAAAGAAAACACATAATTGTTTCGAAGGAAAAATATGTAATTGTTAATTGCAAATTACATATTTTTTCTTTGTAACAACTATGTGTTTTCTTTACACCAATTGATTCCTCTCATTATTTTGTACATAAAAGTATTAAGGTAAGATAACTGAAAAATGAATATTTTTCTAGCTATTTTATGGTTTATGTAAAATTAAGAAATGATTTCAAGTCTCATAACTCGGAAATTATTCAATGAAAAAATACTTTATTATAGTGTTTTGAAAAGCTCTCGAGGTAAGTTACAAGAATATGTAATTAAAAATAGGGGGTTCCATTTAAGAAATTTAAGATGACCTTCACGTGACCTTAACAACACTCTTCAAGGTCATAGTAATATTACTGTGTAATGCGTCACTTAAAATCCTACAACTTTTGTCTGAAACATTTTCCTACAGGATCACTATTTTCGGAGATAATTGACCATTTCCAGACTTTTAAACCACCCTGTATAGTTATATAACTGTTATATGTTATGTAACAATTAGCAATATTATTGAGTGGGAAATTATAAGTAATAATTATATAACTGTTACTTATAATTTCCCACTCAATAATATTGCTGTTACATGTAACAGCAATATTATTGAGTGGGAAATTATGCACTTATATAATTGTTATATAACAATTATATAACAGTTACATGTTATGTAACAGTTATAGCTGTTTGCTGGGTAAGATAAATTCAGTTTCCTCTAATAGAAGAAAATCTCTTCTTTTAGGTACACCGCAAGCATGCAAGATCCACCACGGGGTAGTTACTATCCTGCGGGAGGAATCAACGCTATGCAGCAACCGCGTCAATATCAGTACAGCGCGACCAACCCTTGGCAACGGGAAGAAAGGGAAAAAGTAATGAGATTAATAGCGAAAATAAATTGATAGCAATAATGAAGAAAATAACAGTAATGATTATTACCTGAACAAAGTTTGAAATCTTCATTTTATCGCTAAATATCTAATAATTTTGTAGTATTGATAGTTTATAATTTTAAAGAACAGTTTAAACGAGCGCTACTTGACATTGCTGGTTATTTTAGGAACAAGCTCGTAGAAGAGAAGCTGCCCGACAATGGCGGGATCAGCAGATCGCCGAGTTAAGCGCGCTGACGCATCGAACGCAGCAGCAGGAAGAGCAGCTACGGGCGCTCCAACTGGAAAGAGATTTCCAGAAACGAGCAGAGGAGGTCGCGAATCAAGATGACGATGAAGAAAGTAACGATCTGGATAATGAGAGTGCGCAACGCGTTCAAGGCTTATTAAGGATGGCGGCCAGTCAGGAGAGAACTGCCCAGGGGACCCAGCAGCTTCCAATCCTATCGAGAACAAACACAGGCAATCAGTCTATAAGAGGTGGTCTGCCTCTTCAGCCCATCGGTAGCCAATCGGTCGCCAGCAGCCACTCTCATATTCTGCCCAATCAAGCGGCGCCTCAAAACGTCGGGATGAATAGCCTCGGTCAAGAGAACAGCAGCTTGCACATCCAACCGAGTCAGCAGCAACCGGCGAGTCAGAGCGAGGAGCACGCGTCGCCCAATTACAGCACGTCTCTTTCCAGCCATTTCGGTTCCAGTCAGAAGCCGTATCCCATGTCGCATTCCACGGAAGAAAGGGAATTACAACGAAGAATAGATGAGGTGAAACGGAAGCAGGCTGAATTCGAGGAGAGTCAGAAGAAGCAGGAGGAGCTGCACTCGCCCCAGCAGCAAACATATCAGCAGAGCCAGCATCCAAGAAGCCAGCTGCACCCGAGCATGCTACGTTTGGACAATCTGATTATCAATGGACCCAACGTTTCTATGCGTTAGTAAATTAAATATGAAGCTATACAGGGTTAGGAAAAAATCTGGATACCCCTTAATATTTCGAAAAATACGCATTTTAAAAAAAAATGTTTCATACAAAAGTTATAGGGTTTTATGTGGCGCATTACACAGCAGCATTATTATGACCTCAAAAAGCGTTATCAAGGTTATGTGAAGGTCAGCTTCAATTTTTTAAATGGAATCCCGTATTTTTCATTGCATATTCTTGTAGCTTACCTCGAGAGCTTTCCAAAACACTATAATAAATTATTTTTCCATGAAGTACCTTTCAAATTATGAGGCTTGAAATCATTTCTTAATTTTACATAAACCATAAAAAATCTTGTAAAATATTCATTTTTCGATTATCTTACCTTAATAATTTTATGTACAAAATAATGAGAGGAATCAATTAGTGTAAAGAAAACACATAGTTGTTTCTAAAAAAAAATATATAATTTACAATTCCATATTTTTTCTTAAAAACAACTGTATGTTTTCTTTACACCAATTGATTCCTCTCATTATTTTGTGCATATTTTATGGTTTATGTAAAATTAAGAAATGACGTATTGATGAAAATAAGAAATGATGTTAAAATTAAGAAATGATGTTATGTAAAATTAAGAAATGAAAACCCTATAACTCTTATATGAAACATTTTTTTGAAAATGCGTATTTTTCGAAATATTAAGGGGTATCCAGACTTTTTCCTAATCCTGTACTTTTAAGGCTTTCATGGATTGTGAGGTCTCTTTAGAGATTACATTCTTCACCAGAAAATATTTTGGAATATTTATCCGATCATTTCTCTATTTTAGCCTCGCAAAATAGCGTAAACGACGCACCTCCACCGCCAGAACGAGGCTCCAGTTATGCCGTTATGTCTCAGCAAAGCGCTCTCAGATCAAACGGCTCGACAGCATCCAATCTACCTCCCACTTCTCAACAGCCAGCATCAATGAAAAGGGTTTCTTTTCATGATTCGAATGCAAATAGCGAGTCTATGCTGCGCAGTATGTCGTCCGGGACATCAAATCCACCATCGATGTCAATGGACATTATTAGAGAAGATCCTAACGTGAGTCATTGTTTTCTTTATATGACATCTTTTAATTTTTTTTTCTCACATTTATTTATCTGTTAATTTATTTCTTCTTTATTCTAGTCCGTTTCGTATTCACATAATTGAGTCGTGAATTTCGGCAAAAATCGATCCCGTGTTTTCTTTACAATATTTCAGAATTTATGCAGGATGAGTGAAAAATCCCCGACCAAAAATCTCGAAAACAAGACATTTTAGAAAAAAATGTTTCATGTAAAAGTTGTAGGGTTTAAAGAGATCTAGTTGTCGATCTTATCAGTTTGACCCTGAGAGGCTTCGCCAAAGTCAGGAGAAGGTCAAATTGAATTTCTTAAACGAATTTCTCCCATTTTTACCCTGGATATTATCGTAAGAGTCATATGTATACTTTGTTAATCCTCTCGAGAGAAGTAAAAGATATTTATAAAATCATATATACAGGGTGGCCCCAAACGTTCCAGCCAGACTTTGAGATCTTATAGGAAATTTAATTCTGAACAAAAAATTTCCGATAAACATGGATTGAAAAATGCTTTCTTAAAAAGTTATGGCTCAAAAATCTCTGATGAAGGAAGAGCAAAAGGTGAAATGAAAATGAAATAAAAAGAAAATGAAACTAAATAAATTTCAGGAAAAAATGATAAAAATAAAAAATAAAAATCTTTTTCTTTCATGAAAATAAAATAAAAGATAGTTAAAAAAAAAAAATTTTATTTTATTTTCATAAAAGAAAAAGATTTTTACTTTTTATTTTTATCGTTTTTTTTCAAGAAATTTATTTAGTTTCATTTTCTTTTTATTTCATTTTCCTTTCATCTTTTGCTCTTTATTCATCAGAGGTTTTTGAGTGATAACTTCTTAAGGAAGCATTTTGCGACCCATCATGTTTATAGGAAATTTTTTGTTCAGAATTAAATTTCCTATCTCAAAATCTAGCTGGAACGTTCGGGGCCATCCTGTATATTTTTCTTTACATTTATATTATTCAAAGCCAAATATAGCTTCATCTTCCAACGTACCACTTGTATTTTAGATAATCAACTAAGCAAACTTAATTCCTCAAAGTGTTAACTTGTTCCATCGTTAATAAATATATATATTTACTACAAATCTGAATATTCTCTCGAAATGCATACAATGGCAGATATACATATAAACAAGTAAGATATAACTTGTAAAACAGATATCATTGCTACGTCATTATAAATGTCTAATGTTTAATGATGCATGGACTGTCAGCCATTATCGTCTAGCGAGATATACAAGGTGTTCCAAAAGTCCCGGACCGATCGAATATTTCATAAACTATGCACTTTAGAAAGAAATGTTTCAGACAAAAGTTGTATGACTTGAAGGGGGCCATCAGATAGTGGCAATGATTTGACATAGGAGAGTCATTTAAAAGTCACGTAAAGATCAACGTCAATTTCTTAAATGGAACTCCCTATTTTTTATTAAATATTCTGGTAGCTCACGTCGAGAGCTTTCCAAAACACTATAATAAAGTATTTCTGCATTGAATACTTTTCGAGTTATGAGGCTTGAAATAATTTCTTAATTTTGCATAAACCATAAAATATCTAGTAAAATATTCATTTTTCGATTATCTTACCTTAATACTTTTATATACAAAATAATGAGAGGAATCAATTGATGTAAAGAAAAAACATAGTTGTTTTTAAGAAAAAAATATGTAATTTGCAATTAACAATTACATATTTTTTTTTTAAATAACTATGTGTTTTCTTTACACCAATTGATTCCTCTCATTATTTTATACACAGCTACATGAATATGTAATAAATGTATGTAATAAAAAATAAAAATATGTAATAAAAAATTGGAGGTTCCATTTAAGAAATTGATGGAACTTTTACGTCACCTTCAAATGACTCTCCAAGGTCAAATCATTGCCTATCTGATGGTTCGCTTCAAGCCATACAACTTTTGTCTGAAACATTTCTTTCTAAAGTGCATAGTTTATGAAATATTCGACTCGTCCGGGACTTTTGGGACACCCTGTATATATCTCTCAGTCGAGTGTATCGTGCGCTATGTATTCATTAGATTTTTTTATTCGTCCTTCATTCATCGTGCTATCTACCCTCATGTTCTTGTACATCGATGCTAGTTTCTGTAATCATTGCTTTACGCGTAAATTATTCTGCTGTCCAAAAAAATTGCGCCAGCTCTTTTAAAGCATTCAAAGTCGATCTTTTCTTGGCAAGAATTTAATCCAAAAGTCTGATTCATTTTTTCCTATCACTCTGTATTTTATAGATTAACCATCATATTGATTATTAGGCTTCTGATGTAATAATATATACTGGATGTCCCATTTTAACTTTCACACTAGAATATCTCGAAACCATGGCGGTTTCGAAGAAAATGTTTTAAACAAATGTTGTATGGTTTCGAGGGGGCCATAAGGTGGTATCATTGGTTTTATCTAGAAAAGTCGTTTGAAGGTCATATGAAGGTCACCTTTAATTTTTTTAATGGAACTCCCTATTTTTTATTAAAATATTCTGGTAGCTCATGTCGAGAGCTTTCCAAAACACTATAATTAAGTTAGTTTTCATTAAGTACTTTTTGAGTTATAAGGCTTGAAATAATTTCTTAATTTTACATAAACCATAAAATATCTAGTAAACCATTCATTTTTCGATTATCTTACCTTCATACTTTTATATACAAAATAATGAGAGGAATCGATTAGTGTAAAGAAAAAAACATAGTTGCTTTAAGAAAGAATATATAATTTACAATTAACAATTTCATATTTTTTTCTTAAAAACAACTCTATGTTTTCTTTACACCAATTAATTTCTCTCATTATTTTGTATACAGGGTTGGGCAAAAGTCCGGAAACGGTCAAATATCTCGAAAAGGATCAACTATAGCGAAAAATTGTAAATAGCAAAGTTGTAGGGCTTAAAAAAATGTACCTAATGATGACTAAAAATTTTACTTTGAGTGGAGGACGAAGATCATATAAAAGTCAAATTGAATTTTTTAAATGGAACCCCCTATTTTTCATTACATATTCTTGTAGCTTATCTCGAGAGCTTTCCAAAACACTATAATTAAGTACCTTTTTATTAAGTACTTTTTGAGTTATAAGGCTTGAAATAATTTCTTAATTCTACATAAACCATAAAATATCTAGTAAACCATTCATTTTTCGATTATCTTACCTTCATACTTTTATGTACAAAATAATGAGAGGAATCAATTGGTGTAAAGAAAACACATAGTTGTTGCATGGAATTGTTAATTGCAAATTACATATTTTTTCTTAGAAACAACTATGTGTTTTCTTTACACCAATTGATTCCTCTCATTATTTTGTACATAAAAGTATGAAGGTAAGATAATCGAAAAATGAATGGTTTACTAGATATTTTATGGTTTATGTAAAATTAAGAAATTATTTCAAGCCTTATAACTCAAAAAGTACTTAATAAAAAGGTACTTAATTATAGTGTTTTGGAAAGCTCTCGAGATAAGCTACAAGAATATGTAATGAAAAATAGGGGGTTCCATTTAAAAAATTCAATTTGACTTTTATATGATCTTCGTCCTCCACTCAAAGTAAAATTTTTAGTCATCATTAGGTACATTTTTTTAAGCCCTACAACTTTGCTATTTACAATTTTTCGCTATAGTTGATCCTTTTCGAGATATTTGACCGTTTCCGGACTTTTGCCCAACCCTGTATAAAAGTACATAAAAGTATTAAGGTAAGATAATCGAAAAATGAATATTTTACTAAATATTTTATGATTTATGTAAAATTAAGAAATTATTTCGAGCTTCATAACTCGAAAAATACTTAATGAAAAAATATTTAATTAAGTGTTTTGGAAAGCTCTCGATGCAAGCTATAAGAATATGCAAAAGTATATAGGGTGTCCCATTTAAAAAGTTGGAGGTGATTCTCACGTGACCTTCAAACAACTTTTCAAGATAAAACCAATGACACCATCTTATAGCCTCCTTAAATCATACAACTTTCGTTTAAAACATTTTCACCGAAACCGCCATGGTTTCGAGATATTCAAGTGTGAAAGTTAAAATGAGACACCCTGTATAATATATTCTTAATTTGACAATAATTTAAAATTGATGCAAGAACAAGTAGTGATTTTCTAGCGACCTATTGATAAAAATGTTTCATTACAAACTTATTAAATTAATTATAAAATATATATTTCAATCGTGTTCATTGTTAAATAATTTCAATCTCAGATGTCTCGGATTACATTCTCGCCGAGAGGCAATTGCATATGCAAATTATGTGTGAGATATTTATAATACATGTTGCTATTAATATACGGGATGTCCCAAAAGTCCCGGATCGGTCGAATATTTCATAAACTATGCATAAACTATGCACTTTAGAAACAAATGTTTCAGACAAAAGTTGTATGGCTTGAAGGGGACCATCAGATAGTGGCAATGATTTGACCTTGGAGAGTCATTTGAAGGAAACGTAAAGGTCACCTTCAATTTCTTAAATGGAACCCTCTATTTTTTATTACATATTCGTGTAACTTATCTCGAGAGCTTTACCAAAACACTATAATAAAGTATTTCTTCATTGAGTACTTTTCGAGTTATGAGGCTTGAAATCATTTCTTAATTTTGCATAAACCATAAAATATCTAGTAAAATATTCATTTTTCGATTATCTTACTTTAATACTTTTATGTACAAATGAGAGGAATCAATTGGTGTAAAGAAAACATATAGTTGTTTTAAAAAAAATATGTAATTGTTAATTGCAAATTACATATTTTTTTCTTAAAAACAACTATGTTTTTTCTTTACATCAATTGATTCCTCTCATTATTTTGTACATAAAATTATTAAGGTAAGATAATCGAAAAATGAATATTTCACAAGATATTTTACAGTTTATGTAAAATTAAGAAATGATATCAAGCCTCATAATTCGGAAGGTACTTAATGAAAACTAACTTAATTATAGTATTTTGGAAAGCTCTCGACGTGCTACCAAAATATTTAATAAAAAATAGGGAGTTCCATTTAAGAAATTGACGTTGATCTTCACGTGACTTTCAAATGACTCTCCCATGTTAAATCATTAGCACTATCTGATGGCTCCGTTCAAGCCATACAACTTTTGTCTGAAACATTTCTTTCTAAAGTGTATAGTTTATAAAATATTCGACCGGTCCGGGACTTTTGGGACATCCTGTATATAACTTTCCCAGCATTAATATTATTTACAATCCGTTCGATTATTCTTTCAGAATTTTATCAACGACGCGGAGAATCTACTGGCATCTCCCAAGACGCCGGAAGGATCCGGAACTTCATTTACTGGCGCTACTCCTGGAGTGATTGGAGCTCAAGAGGTGTATAAGTAAGTTTAGGAGAAATTTGTTTGAGTAAAATTAAAAGAAAAATTTTTTGTTTAAGTAAAATTTGAGAAGAGGACTAGAGTCCCCAAGTGATTCTTCCAACGTGTGCAAGAATCTATTGAATGCTTCTGCTCCAGAGATCCGAGACAAAAACGACTGGCGGAGAAGCAAAAGCAGCAGCAACAGAATTCGCAAATTGGCGCGGTGCCGGAGAAGCTTAGCTTCAAGGAGAAGATGAAGATGTTCGCGATGGAAACCGGCGAGGATGGGACGCCCCGTGACAAGGTGAAGATCTCGCGGGCACAACGCGAGATCGACAACATCAGCAGCCCACTCAATTCCAGCAACAACAACAATAACAACAATAATAATAATAACAATACCACCAGCGGCAATAATAACACCAATAACAATAGGACCTAATGAAGTAAAATTGCATTCTCTTATCTTCGAGCCGTAGCAAGCAGATGTATAGGGTGGTGTTTTCAACATTCAAAGTATCTAGAATACCCCTTGGAGGAAAGAGCGATGAATTTCGTGAATAAAAGAGGAAGTAAATTTACACGATCCGATGAAACATCGGTAGGCTGCGCTGATCTTCTACAAAGTACAACGCTTCAATTAATCGCAAAAATGATGGAATTATTTGACTGGAAGAATTCTTAGCAGAAAAGAAACAAAAATCTATATTCACATTTTATCTATCTACATTAAAATAATCTGCCTTATGCTCGTTTCCTCCGAATAGTCTTAGATACTTTATCCTGTATTTTTTGCCGGATAAAAAGGAAGAGAAGAGACATAGAAACGGACATACAGGGTGAGGAAAAAGTATGGAAACTCCTAAATTTTTCGAAAACTATACATTTTAAAAACAAATGTTTCAGACAAAAGTTGTAAGGTTTCAAGTAATGCATTACGTAGCGATATCAGTATAACCTTGAATAGCATCGTCAAGGTCACATAAAAATCACTTTGAATTTTTTAAATGGAACCCTTTACTTTTTATTATATATTCTTGTAGCTTGTTTCAAGAGCTTTTCAAAACACTATAATAAAGTATTTTTTCAGTGAGCACTTTTCAAGTTATAAAGCTCGAAATAATTTCTTAATTTTACATAAACCATAAACAATAAAATATTTTTTCTTCAAAACTATGTTTTTTCTTTACATCAATTGATTCTTCACATTATCTTATGTATAAAAGTATGAAGATAAAATAATAAAAAAATGAATATTTTATTAAATATTTTATGGTTTATGTAAAATTAAGAAATTATTTCAAGCCTCATAACTCGAAAAGTACTCAATGAAAAAACACTTTAATATAGCGTTTTGGAAAGCTCTTGAAACAAGCTATAACAATGTGTAATAAAAAATAGGGGGTTCCATTAAAAACATTCGAACTGATTTTTATGTGATCTTAACGGTACTGTTCAAGGTCATACTGATATTGCTACATAATACGTTACTTGAAACCCTACAACTTTTGTCTGAAACATATGTTTTTAAAATGCATAGTTTTCGAAAAATTTAAAGGTTTCCATACTTTTTCACTTACCCTGTAGTTGTATTTTCACGCGATAAGTTGATTAGTTTTTATCGCTAATGGTACTACTTATACAAATATTTAGGACGAGTCCGGCGATTCTCCACAAGCGTCAAAGTACAAACGAAATTTTGTATAGCTCTTTGACCAAAAAAAAAAAGTCGTGTGTTCTGTTAACAAGGACCATTAATAACATAATGATAACGTTGCGGGCGTACTTGTTGCAGTCGTGAAGATGAGAAGAAGAGCTCGGCTGATTCTCGTGCGCCCGATATTCCTGATTACTTCCGGACCAACCTAATCTTATTATAAAGTAATTGATAATCTCTGTCGAGACTAGTACGACGTAAGGATAAGGCTCGCGAGTACTTGAATAAGCTTATCGTGAGACGCGGAATCATTTTGCGAGGGAAGCTCGCGAGTGTACATAGGAAGGAGACAAATAGTAGGCCGGGCAACACGATATATATATTATTGTATGCGTTAATTTTATATTTATCTCTCTCGGCAGGAGAAGGGGGAAGGCGGAGGTTTAAGATATATATTTAAATTATGCGATTTACTCACTCTTACGCCATTATGCACTTAAACAAGTACGACAAAGTAGTGAAGATAGCTAGGAAATAGAAAAAAAAAGATGATGATGATGAGCAGTGTATGTGTATGTGTGCACGTGAGGAAAGAATGCGGATAGTTGAAAAGATTTATATTTATATAATGCGAATTTCACAAATGTAGACAGCATTAGCTTAGTTTTCGAATCGAAACTCTACTTGCATGAAAATTCTATTCTCCAGAAAAATATGAAAATTCCATGTGGAATCCTTAATTTTTTTTAAATTTACAAAAACTCCACTTTCATAGAGTGAATAGGATATTTCGTGGAAGAGAGATACAAAATGGATTTATCTGCGACGGGAGATTTTTATTTGAAAATGTGGAAGAGAGATAAATGCTAGAATTCTTGATTATATATATACAGGGTGGCCCGAACGTTCCAGCCAGACTTTGAGATCTTGTAGGAAATTTTTTAAATTCTTTTTTCATTTTTAATTTTTTAATTCTGAACAAGAAATTTCGTATAAACATGGGTCAAAAGATGCTTCCTTAAGAAGTTATCGCTCAAAAATCTCTGATGAAGGAAGAGCAAAAGGTGAAAAGAAAATGAAATAAAAAGAAAATGAAACTAAATAAATTTCTTGAAAAAAAGAAACGATAAAAATAAAAAATAGAAATCTTTTTCTTTTATAAAAATAAAATAAAAGTTTGTTAAAAGAAAAAATTATTTTATTTTCATAAAAGAAAAAGATTTTTATTTTTTATTTTTATCTTTTTTTCAAGAAATTTATTTAGTTTCATTTTCTTTTTATTTCACTTTCCTTTTACCTTTTGCTCTTCCTTCATCAGAGGTTTTTAAGCAATAACTTCTTAAGGAAGCATTTTTCGACCCATGTTTATAGGAAATTTTATGTATTTTGGCCACCCTGTATATCGACGTTTTATTAAATCTAGAGATGTAGAAATGAAATTTAGTTCTCTTTTTGCGTGTTATTCTTCGATGGTCCTCTATTTTTCATTAATAGAGATATCTGTGGGAAGAAATATCATATTCGTTTGTTGAAAAAATCGTTGTTTTGCCGGAGGATTTTTCACGAATGTGTAAAGTGAATCATTTGAGATATTCGTGATTTACTTTATTTATTATTTTTGTAAATCTTCCTAACGGATTTGTAATCTTTTTTTTCTTTAATTCATCGATACAAATAAATATAAAACAAATTAAGATAAATTATTGGACGCTTTACAAGATTTATGTTGTAACGTATATCAGATTTAACGTATATGTTTATTTTTTCTTGCATATATGATGCCATGCAACATAAATTCTGAGCGATAAATTTCAAAAAAGAAATTCGTCCTGTGTGAAATTTAAATAATGAATATTGGCGCATTATTTAAATGAGCGAATTTATTTTTTCAATTCATTATTTTTATTATTGAGTTAATTACTTTTAGAAATCCTTCAAGAGAGGTCACTTTTGCTTATATCTGCTGTCACACAATATATTATAATATTATAGACATAATTTCCAAGATATTTTTTTCACCTGTAAATTAAAAGATATCAGTTTGAGGATAGATAATTTTGGAATTACAGTTAATTACGATTATTATTGATCGATCGAAAGTTACCATCTTAAATGACTCACTCTATGCAATTTTTTTTTCATTATTCTTCTCGAATTTTTTTTTTATTATTCTTCTCGACTAAGTGATAATCAAAATACGTTATCATTGAAAGCTTTCTTCGCGCAGATTTCGCATCCGATGATAACGCGTTTAATTCTAAGGCTTTAAATTTGTTAGGAGAATCTTAAATCTTCTTAGACTCTTTCGCACTTGCAGAGTATTTGCGGATGATGACGCAGTATTCCAAAAAGAGCTTAGTGATCTAATGTGAAGAACAAAGGGTAGCAATATTAGACTTTAAGGAACAACTTATGTAGAGTAACTCTGTACAAATGAAACGAGTGGAGGGTGTTAGCCGATTTTTTGCGTAATAGAAATCGTCGAGCGCAGATCGAGCTGAGAAATATTCACTCAGAGCTTCGTGCTAAATTTCTTGAAATTATGCAACATTTATTGCATTCCTCGCCGTCCAATCTATGCGACAGAGTAAAAAAAAATGATCGCAAGGAGACTTTCTTTTTGATTTTTTTTTATTTTTAAATTTGTGAAAACGATTCACATCTCTACATTTTTTTAAAATTCATGAATATTATAAAGTTATATTATAAAAAAAAAATGATCGCAAGGAGGCTTTCTTTCTTTTTTTTTTTATTTTTAAATTTGTGAAAACGATTCACATCTCTACATTTTTTTTAAATTCATGAATATTATAAAGTTATATAAAAAAAAAAAATGATCGCAAGGAGGCTTTCTTTTTGTTTTTTTTTATTTTTAAATTTGTGAAAACGATTCACATCTCTACATTTTTTTTAAATTCATGAATATTATAAAGTTATATTATAAAAAAAAAATGATCGCAAGGAGGCTTTCTTTTTGATTTTTTGATTTTTAAATTTGTGAAAACGATTCACATATCTACATTTTTTTTAAACTCATGAATATTGTAAAGTTACATTATAAAAAAGATGATCGCAAGGAGGCTTTTTTTTATTTTTAAATTTGTGAAAACGATTCACATCTCTACATTTTTTTTTAAATTCATGAATATTATAAAGTTATATTATTAAAAAAATGATTGCAAGGAGGCTTTCTTTTCGATTTTTTATTTTTAAATTTGTGAAAACGATTCACATCTCCATTTTTTTTAAACTCATGAATATTATAAAGTTTATCTTCCAGAAGAGAAAAAGAGAGATCCACAGAATGTAATGCTAATATCACATAACTAACAATACAACATATTAAAATCGATAGAAATATCAAGAAAAATCACTCGCATTTCTACTCTTGCAAATTATTCGACTTGTGTTGAATTCTTTATTTGTAAAAAAAAATGAGGACTTGTGATGTATCATGCAAGATATCAGCCAGCAAACACCAAATAACAATTATATAACTGTTAGTTGTAATTTCCTACTCAACATATATACATATATATAACTGTTACGTGGTATGTAACAGTTATATAACAGTTATATAACATAATAAATAGTTATATTATTGTTATATGTTATGTAACAGTTATATTGTTGAGAGGGAAATTACAACTAACAGTTATATAACTGTTATTTGGTGTTTGCTGGGCAATATCATAGATAATTGCTGATTTTTGTCAAAAGCAAGAGAAAATGCCACTAAATTAAAATAACATATCTAATTTTTTTTTTTCTCAAAAGAATTCTGATTGATTTCCGGCGATTCCTCAATAATCTTATATTCGTAAAAAAATACGTTTTTATCTGATTTATATTTTGTTGTATACTTTTATCGTTTATGCGCCTTTGCAAGATTTATCCCAGCAAAAAAAAGGAAATATAACTAATAGTTATAATTTCCCACTCAACAATATAACTGTTACATGTTATATAACAGTTACATAATATTTACATAATATATGTTATATGTTATGTAACAGTTATATAACAGTTATATTGTTGAATGGGAAATTACATAAACGTTACTTGGTGTTTTTACTGGGATTATTCCGGCCTTATACATCCATTCCTCCAGTTTGGAACGATAGTGATAATACTAAGCAGCTTGTGACATGCTGTCATGCGACGAATTATTTTGCTCGTGACCACAACGAATTTCCGTTTTTAAGCAGTTAACACTAATTAACGCGGGA